TCTCTCTCTCTCTCTCTCTCTCTCTCTCTCTCTCTCTCTCTCTCTCTTCTTTCTCTCTTTCTCTCTCTCTCACACACAACTTTATTAGCCAGAGAGTAATTTATAGAAATTAACCTTCACAATTGAGGAAAAGTAACATTTACTCTGATTGTGATTATTTTGTGCTTTCACTTCTTCACACATTCATTAGGCAACTTTTTTGAACTTATACAAAGCGTGTATCTATAGTAGAAAGTAAAGACGTGGCCTTCAAGGGGATTTGAGCATTTTAAATCAAACATTCACAGATGTGCACATAACCTTAGTTGTTTTCTTTGAGATATGTGACCTACATTGGCCTCTGCCTTCCTATGTAGCAAAGGGTTAACTTAAAACCTTTATCCTCCTGTTTTCTAACTCCTGGGTGTTTGGTTTATGGGCACATGCTACTGTGCCCAGCTTATGAGCTTGTGGGATCAGACCCAACGTTTCTTGCAAATTAAGTAAGTATTTTTACGAACTGAGCAACATCTCCAGCACCTGAGCTTAGTATTTAGTATAAGAAATAATTGGGGGAGTTAGTTTGGTTGGATGACAAAGAACAGTGCCTCTACAAAATGAAATTTAATTTGAAAAATAAAAGAGCTTGCCATGTGAAGCATGGATATATATATAGTTGAGAAAAATAAATTATATGAAGACGTTAAGAAAGTCCGTGATAGACTAGAATAGTGTTGAAAGGGTCATCAGATCTTGTGATCATCTTGAGGATTTTGTGCCCTCAGTAAAATGGGAAATTATTGAAAGTTTTCTAAAAGGTTAATGAAATGAACCATTTCTATTTATAATGAATTATTTGAATGCATTGTAAGAGAAGCAAGAATATAAAGAAGGAAACCAATTAGGAAGCTCTTTCAGTGACATGGAGAGAGGACGGCGTGGACTACTCAGTGGGAACATTTGAGAAACAAGTTGATTTGATGTAGTGTGAGGATAAAATAAATGGCTGATAACTAATTCATTTAGGTGGATTGAGGGGTGAGATTAATCATGAATTCCTCCCAGTTCTGAAGATGCCATGTTCTGAGATAGAGATGCAGAGAGAACAAAATTAAGATATAATTGCTCTGTTTTTCAAAGCATGGAAATGAGACTGGCTTTCTGTTTGTAGACAAACTATAACCAAACTACCAATGTGCAGGCCACATCCCCTCTAATAACTGTCTGTTTTGAAGATAAAACACCTTGTCCACTCCTTTTAGTCTTCTAGAATAATAGCACTATTCTGTTTAGACAAAGTAAACATTTCTGTTGTGTGCTTCAACTGAATATATAGCTCTTTTAAAGTTACAGAGAGGCAACCAGGAGAAGAAAAATATTTTAGATATTAGCTACAAAATTATTTTGCCAGTCTTCTATGTGTACAGAAAGGACTAAATATTATCTTTTAAAACATTGCTTATTGCCCAAGATTTCTCGTTAAGACAGTGATGACCTTTTAAGCACATGGCCCACCTAGGTGGAAGTGGTCCTGTAATGGAGCATCGCAGTGCTGGCCATGAAGTGCTTCTCCCACACCTGCAGCATCTGCCTCTTTTCCTCAGCATCCCTGCCTTTTAACAAATAGCTGATCATGATCACTGATGAGTTTCTAAGTTGTTCTTCATTCTGTTTCTCTCTGTTCATATAAGTAAGATGCTGCACAAATCTATAAACTAAATGAGCATATATGTTTGACTAAGTTTCTGTATGTTAGCCAGGTTTTACAATAAATGTCTTAGTGTTCTTTACATGAACAGTGTCTTAGTTCATCAGCAAAATCCAAGGAAAATATATTTGAAAAAAAATAGAAGTTTTTCCTGGCAATTTAATTCTAACTCAAACACATGGTGTTTTAAATTTTTCTAATTACATATTATATTTGCTTATAATGAAGAATGTAAGTAAAAGAAAACATTCCTCTTTCTACAATATACAGTGACTTCATTTTCCTTATCCCAAGGACATTGAAATTAGAAAAAAAAGTCCAGAAAACATTTAAAATGCTGCTGCATTTTTTTTTTGCTTTAAAAGTGATATAGAAGTATTACAATTTAAGAAAACTAGATACTGGATATGTAAATGTCTGTTTTGTTTAATTTCTTAGTTGAAATGTTTTGGAATAAAGAGGAAAAAATAAGATGTGTAGGTTATTCATACTTTCTAATTTTCTTTATCATTATAGAAAGTATTTATCTTCTCTGGAACATTCAGACAAAACTTAGATCCTGTTGGAAAATGGAGAGATGAAGAAATATGGGAAGTTGCAGATGAGGTAAGTATATTAAATGAAATAGTTCTGAAGAGGCAGATCATACACAAGTGTGATTACCATAGGTGATGTATGTTTCACACATGTGTGTACATGTATGAATATATGCATGTGTGTGTACATACTTTCTAATTTACCTGGCATATTCATGGTTTGAATTAGACTCATCCCTCTTCTCAAGGGAGTGGGAACTTACCGTATAGTCTATTCCTTGCTGCTGTCATAATGTTCCATAGACTCAGTTGTCCATAGACAGGATGAATTTATTCTCATCTTTTTTGAGACTGGGAAGTCTAGAGCTAGCAGCCACTATTTGTTGTCTGCTGATGCCCTACTTCCTGGAAGTTCAGAGATGTACTTGCAGTGTCCCGGGCAGGCCCTTTTTATTTAGAATGCTAATAGGGAACTCAGACCCCATGACTTAGTCACTTCCCAAATGTCTTATCTCTCAGTAGCACTGTCTTGGACATTAAGACTTTGGATTCCAACATGTTTCTGAAGGATTTGCACATGTAGACACCTCACTACTCCACTCCAAAATCATGTCTCCATCTCAACAACCCTCAAAGTTTCAATGCATTCCACTATCAGTATACAACTGGAAATCCCAAAGTCTCAATCAAGCCAGCTCCACAAGGCTGTGGGCTTTAGATTTGCTGTATTGGCATTCCACCATTTCCTGTCCTTTGGTCATTGTTGCTCCCTTGCTGTTTTCTGCCTTGCTCCAGAGCAAATCTTACCAGGAGCTTTGAAGCCTCTGAGTGCTAAATGCTAACCCCTTGAGTAACCAACCCTAAACTTCCCCTAATAAAATGCACTGAGATTAACTGTTTTTTTTCATTATCAAGGTTTCCTTATTACCCAGCAAATGCAAAGTTTCTAAAGAAAACATTAACTAAATTGTGACAGGTTGTAAGATCCTTACTGTAATTTTACAGGGTGAACTTTAAGAATGCAGTGTACTAGAGAGGACTTGGGAAAGAGGGTATAGGCTGTATAAAACCTGCAGGTATTGCCAGGTCTCCATAAAATTTTCAGGGAAGCAGGATCATAAAATCATCTAAAATGTTAGAAGATACAGTTAAGACTTTGGATTCCAATATAATACAATGGTCACATGACTAGATTTTGTCTATCAGTCCATATTTAGTTGTATCTTTTCACTGATCCTCCTTTTAAATTTATGTTTATAAAGGTGTTACTTCTGATCTAACCTTAATGTCCAGTAGTTTGAGTAAGAGTGACAAGTTTTTTGTTGAAGAGACCACAAAGAAACACAAGCACCAAGCCCTAGCCTATGGCAGTACGAGATTTGGTTTAAAAGACACAAATCTTAGACTTTAATCCTTTATGGTTGATAATCCAATATATACAAACAGGGACATGTTGGGGTGGGTCAGCCTCCTAAGACACTGGGACAAAAGTCTAACCTTCCTGGACTGGTTTAGGGCAGCTCCCTCCCCTATACAGCTCTGGATCTCCTGCATCTCCTGCTCACCACCCACCCTGTGTCTCTCTATTGCCTGTTCCACAGAGTACCTGTTGTACGTTGTGTAAAGAACCTTTGTGATTTGATCTTTACCACTCTGTTCTCAGCCCCTACCCTCCCTGTGTCCCATGATTCTGTGAATTTCAATTTTCTTTAAAGCACGACTGCCCTCTGCTCTGCTGTCAGGACTGGTGTGGTTGCTGCTGCTCTTCTCTTGTTTTCTGTCCCTGAGAAACCCTCCCAGGCCACCACACCTGTTGCTTCTCATCATGCCAACCTTTTGCCACACATCACTTCTTTCTGAAACCCATCCTGACCCCTCAGCTTTGTTGGGGAACTAGGCACTTAACTCCTGAATGAAGTATGGGGCTGAAAGAATCCTCCAGACAGCTTAGGGCAACCAATACTTTAAACAGAGTTTTGCTTAATAAACTAAGTGGTAGCTGGAATTTGAGGGTGATGTGAAATTTAATCTGTGCAAACTCCTGTGTATTTTTAGAATGTCAGCCTCTTGAGTGATTTTAATTCTGTGGTATCTTGAGTGCTCCTTCTAAGCACAGTGTTTTCCTTTCTTTACTACAGGTTGGACTCAAATCTGTGATCGAGCAGTTTCCCGGGCAGCTCAACTTTACCCTTGTGGATGGGGGTTATGTGCTCAGCCATGGCCACAAGCAGCTGCTGTGCCTGGCCCGGTCTGTTCTCAGTAAGGCCAAGATCTTACTTCTTGATGAGCCCAGTGCTCATCTGGACCCCATGTGAGTTCCAGAAATTCTGTGATGTAATAGCAAAATAGACAAGAGTCATTGAAAGTTACTTCATATTGCTACAAATTTCCATTCAGCTACTGTGGCTTCAAGTAGGGAATACAAAATAATTGTCCAGGAGAAAGTCACTATTTAACATGAGCCCAAGTACTTGTTTTCTTCCATAAGAGCCCTGTTTCCTCCTCTGACTGGAGTCTCGAATTTTGTGCAAGCTCTTCAACCTCATGAACATATGATGAAATATTGTGTGCACACTCTTATGGTTTCCTTCTGTAGACTTTTTATTAAAAATTCATTAATAGTACAGAATAAAGATCTGAAAATGAATCTACATAAAATGTAGTTTCATTAAAGCTTTCTTGCAATCATTTGTCTTATTGGTGTAGTAAGTACTTAGAACTTACCCCCTGCTTAGAAGATGACTTGGCTAATTCTGTACCAACATAATGCTAAAAGTAGTTTTTAAATAAAGAACTAAATATATAGGACACTATGCATGTTGTCAAAGATAAAGACAGATATTCATACTCTGTAATGTTTATATGGTTTTCTATTGCTTTGCTAGAACGTACCAAGTAATCCGAAGAGTTCTCAAACATGCCTTCAGTAACTGCACAGTAATCCTCTGTGAACACAGGATAGAAGCAATGTTGGATTGTCAACGATTTTTGGTGAGTCTTTTACATTTCTTTGGTGTCTCATTACCCTTTTATTTTAACAATCTTGTGCAATAGGTCCTATAAATTATAGTCATGCATCCTTCCTTCATATATATATCTTTATGCATACATTTGCTTGCTTAGTGTGGCTGCAGGAGTCTTTCCTTTTGACTGGAGCTATGAAGTGATGTTGAAATTTAGAACACTCCAGTGGCATGATATTGCCAAGTGGCATCGTAGATCAGAAAATACAGAAAGACATCTGTACTTCCATACTCTTCTTTGGGGGAACTAGTCACAAAATGTCCTCTTGAAGAAACAATCTGTTTCTTTCAATAACCAAACATCCCTTGGGGAAGATCCGGGATTGGCCTTCCTGTCAGTGGCTTTAGTGCAATAGGAGGAAGCCTATTTCAGTGTCCTCCTGTCTATTGGGAAGCAGGTTAGTGTCCTTGTCAGCTACCTTCTCATTCCCAGCTATCATAGCTCCTTCAGGGGGTCTTTACAAATTCCCTCCTGTTTAACACCAAGAAGGGCCAAGGATCATGTAACATTTTCACTTCAAGGCTTTTGAATGGTCTGGAGGGAAATGCTTTCCTTACTGAGGCACTGTTATTCCTAGTGTCACTGCTCAGCTGCAGCAGCTAGAGGGTAGGTTCATCTCTTGTTCCACCACGGCCAGTTTAGGGACTGGGTCAAGACCTCTGTTCTCTGGCCTCAGACTTGCAAAACTGCATTGCAGGTGTTATACTCAGTCATGCCTAGCCAATTTGGAATTGCTAGGCCTCAGACTCAGTTTTGAAGAAGTTCAAAGTTTATGGTGCTGTATATATAGATCATCTTAAAAGTATAGAAGAGGTAAATCATGGATCACTCAGGTTTACAAAGCTCCTTCAGTTCTAGCTTCATGAAGGAGTATAAACCTGATATTAGATGAATTTTTGAAATTCCAAGTGCTACTTTCACAGCTAATTTTATAGATGTGAAACTTAAGTAAGATATACATGGCTCTGAACCCTGTGTTTTCTTTGGACTTTTGTTCTCCTTTGGGCGTAGGTCCGTTTCTGATCCTGCACTGGCTTGATTTTCACTCTATATGAGGTTTCACTAATGACCTTTTCCCTAGGTCATAGAAGAGGGCAATGTATGGCAGTACGACTCACTTCAGGCACTTCTGAACGAGAAGAGTCTCTTCCAGCAGGCCATTAGCTCCTCAGAAAAGATGAGGCTCTTCCAAAGCCGCCACTCCAGCAAGCAGAAGCCTCGGTCGCAAATTACAATTACTGCTCTGAAAGAGGAGACAGAAGAAGAAGTGCAAGAAACCCGCCTCTAGTGGCTGGGATGCTGGGGAAGCAGCTCAGTGGACCTGAGACATTCCCAGAACCCATGCAAAATGAAAAAGCCTGGCATGCTCCGTGCTTCTAACCCCAGTGCTGGGGACACAGGGACAGCTGAATCCTTGTGACTCTGCGGCAAGTGATCCTAACCCACACAGAGTTCCAGGCCAGGTACCAGAGGGACAGTTCCTGAGGAGCTCCTCTTACAAGTACACACACATGAACACACAGACACACACACGCACATTAATGGACATACACAGAACAAGAAGAAGAAGGGAAAAGGAAAAATTAAAGGCCAGAAAATGCAAATGATTGCAAAATGATCACATGAAATGTTTGCTCATGGACTCAGAGAAGAAGAGCTCCACTGTGTGTGCCTTTGAAAACAGGGTGAAGCCCCCATCCCTGCTTTTTAGGAGTCTGTTTTGGAAGAGAAATCAAGAACATTCCTATGGGACTGGGTAACTGGCTTCTAATAGTGGCTGAACTGTGTGAAAGGCTTCAGAGACCAAGGATGCGCCACTGGTGCTTTGCAGGCCATGTTTTCCTGAAAACTTTTGCCCTCGAGTCGTAGCTGGAAAGGTAGCTCTAAATGCCAACCAGGTTAGTTGTTCAACTTGTTACTCAGAGTACTTAACTTACATTATTGAAGAACTTAGATCAGATGAAGTAGTGTAACATGAGGGCCAGCTTGTTGGAGTTTCTGTCCCACCCAGTACCCCAACAAGCCAGCAAGTCCCAAGGAAAATCACACAGAGTCTACATTAGGTTATAAACTGATTGTCCCATTAGGTCAGGCTCCTTGTTAACTCTTATAACTTATGTTACCCCATTATCCTTATCTATGTTAGCACATGGCTCCGTACCTTTCTCAGCTGGGCAGGTTACATGCTGCCTCTTCAGTGGTCTGCACAGGAATGGCGAGAGAGCTTCTGCTTCCAGAATACTCCCAGTCTTTTTGCTCCACCTCTACTTCCTGTCTGGCTTTCCCGCTTATACTGCCTGCCTGGCCAATCAGTGTTTTATTAAAATATGATTGACAGAATACAGACAATTCTCCCACACCAAAGTAGTAACAGGAAATGGTGGCTTATATATCCCATCTTTCTTTTGTTCAGGATAGTTAGACGCATGGCTATCTTACCTGACACATTCTCTGTGTAGCCCACTCCAAGCAAATGTTAGAATCCTATGAAAGCACGGGGTGGTATTAAAGATGCCCCGCTCGACATCTTGTGTTCTTGTTACCTTCATTCAGTAATAAGAATTCCAAGATCTTGGAAATTAGGATTAAAACCATCAAGCCCTACTCCCACACATCTAAATGTTCTTATAATTAAAGTGTCTCTGACCTAGGAAGAGTCATTACGATACCGTGCAGGGGCCAGGACAATTTCCTTGATGTGGAAATTGACACATGTATTTTCCCAGAATAGACCTTTAAGACTTCTGAAGTAAGGAGACTTGTGTCAACACGAACTGGAGCAGCCCAGTACCAGGCCCAGGAGTTCTCATGGACACAGGCCTCAGGAAGCATGGGTAGATATGTGCAGGGGATGCTCATGTGTTCCCAGCTAGCTGTGTATCCTTCATACTCTCCACACAATTGTTGGGGAGATACTCTGACAAAGATTTAATCATGAATTAGTTTTATATGCTTTGCTTTATAATTTGTGATGCAAATGAAATTTTCTCTGGGAAATATTTATTTTAGTAATAATGTTTTAAACTCACATGTAACAATGATGTATTTTAAGAATGATTACACAATCAATTATATTTGTATAAAATAATTTTTATATTTGAAATGTTGAATTTTTATTGGCACTACCTATTTCTAAAAAGGGAAGTGAGGAGGACAGGAATTATAAAGACCAGTGACCTTCATGGAGTGAAGCATTGGAACCGATGCAACTCTTGTCCATGTCTGTTTGGTTCTCAGACAACACATGTTCCATTTTAATGCAGCTTTGAAGAAGATGGTACCGAAAGTCAAGATGGTCCAACTATGGGCACATCAGCTTCTGAACTAAGCCTTAGAAGAATGTATTATATTTATTATTATAATAGAATATCATGTGTCAATAAAATCTTTTTATTTGTGTGAAACTTGTCTTTCAGATATGTTCATTAGGTATGTCTCTGAAACACCTAGCTCTAGTCTCCAAGATTCATGGGACACAAATCTTTCTTTTAGATATAATCTCCTTAAGAATCCCAATTGAATTAGAGCACAAATCATCAAGTTGTCTCTAAATTTCAGTAAGATATTCATAGTATGTTTACCATTTTCATCATTTTGAGTGATAGTTCAATAGAATTTTGTAAATTCACATAGCTGTGTAGTTACTACCACTTTTATTTATAGTTGATTTTTTTTCAACTTGAAAAACTATCTTTATCTATATAAACAATAACCCCTTTCCATTCCACCATGAATCCATGAATTCCACTTTTGGTCTATGATATGATTTTGAGTGTACTTTGTAGGAACACAATCTCAATGTTAGCCCCTTTTTACTTAGCTTCTTTTACCAAACACGTGTCTTGAAGACTCAGTCACATTTTATGTCATTTTTCTTCTTATTCAAGTGACAGGAATTATATATAAAATGTAATGTGTGTTATATAATATTTTGCATAGCCATTAATCTACAAATGGGCTCAAATTAATTCCATGTTTTGAATATGCATATGAGTATACAGACATCTCAGTAAACTTTGAAGGTTTCATATTAAAGAGAGGCATAGAGAACACACACACAAAATTTATAAATAAATGTGTTACTTCTTTTTAACAATGAGTCTACATTGTCTCATCATTATCTCCAATGATAATGGTTTATGTGCTGGCTAGTTGTTTGTCAAATTAACCTTGAATTATCTGGAAGGGGAACCTCAGCTGACAAAATGCCTCCATCCGATTGCCTACAGGCAAGTCCGCAGTTTATTTTCTTGACTGATGACTGCTGTGGGAAGGTCTAGCTCACTGTGAGTGGTGCAACCCCTAGACAGGCAGTCCTAGATGAAGCTGAAACTGTGGGGCATGTGGTTCTTTCAGGCTTGCTTCTTTCACTTAGGAATATGCAGTATTTCTCCATGTGGTTTTACTGCTTGATGACTCATTGATTTTTGCTGCTTGGTAACGTTCCTTCTAGATATACCACAGTTTATTTTCCGACTGAACGACATCATATTTCTTGGTTCATTCTTATTCTTTGTAAAAATCTTGAATAAAGATGCTGAAACTTCAGGGAGGGAGGGAGGAAGAAAAAGAAAGATTGCAAAGGGGAGAAGAATAGGAGGAGGAGGGAGAAGAGGAAGGTAATAGAGAAGAAAAGGATGAAAGACAAGAGGCAAGGAGAGAAGAAAAGGAAGAGAAAAGAGAGGCGGGAGAGCAGAGACATATCTAGAAACAGAAAAAAGCAAAGACCCAAGAGGACCATCAAAAAGACGACATTGGGATATGGAAGACCTGAGGTGGACTTACTGTGATACTAGCAAAGCTGATTTCAAAGACTTCCACTCACCTTAGCACCTACCTTAACAGTATCCAAGGTCCCATGTCTCATTTTGTATGCATAATTTTGTAATCTTTTAAAAATAGATACTATTTCTCCCAAATTATAAAATTTCTGGGCTCTAATAACACAGAATATCCTTGTATAAGAGATGGGACTTCAGAGGAAGAAGCAGTTTGTTGGTGAAAACTTTGGCTATTCAAGAGCCCATTCTTAGATGAATTGCTCAAAATGAGAGTTGAGAATTGAATGACTTCAAATAAGGAGAGGGCTGAAAAGCAGCCAAGCTTCTATCCAGATGGGAAATAGCTACAATGAAAGGAGCAAGATGGTGGAGGCTATGGAATTTGACACTACCCGGCTGACATGATTCTTAATATAGTACCTTAAAATAGCAAACCATTGTGACCTGGGAAATGACTTCAGTAAAGGGCTGTTGTGTAAATGTCAAGTACTGAGTGTGGATTCCCAGCACCCACATAAAAAGCTCCATAGGATTTTCTGGACCTGTAATTCCCTGTACTGAAGAAGTGGAGACAGGAGGACCCCTGGAGTTGGCTGTTCAACCAGTCTAGACAAATTCATGAACTTCCAGCTCAATGAAAGACCCTATCTCAAAAATAAAGTGAAAAGTGCTTGAGGAAGACACACAATGTTGTGTCTTGATCTCCGGCCTCCCTGTGCATATACGTCCATGCACATGTGTACCTGCACACAACTCCCAAATATGTGAATTCCTCCTTGCTGTCCCTACCGCTATTGTTGCTATTCATTTTATTTATACACAATCATATATATATATATATATGTATATATATATATATATATATGTATGTATTTAAGTACAGTATGCTTTTTTTTATAAAACTTTAAGGAAAAAAGTAAAAGTCATTTTGCTGTCAACATTCATTCTTTGGTGGTTTTGATCCTTTATAATATAAATGAAGTTCTGATCTTCATCATTTTGCTTCCCCCTAAAAAGTATCTTCTATTTAATACCTTCTGCAAGGCAGGTAAACTGACAAAATGTTCTTTCAAGTTGTCAGTCTGATCAAAGTTTCATTTCTCCTTCACCTTTAAAAGACTATTTCACAGTGTGCAGAAAACTAGATGGAGCGCCCTCCCTGCTTTTACAACACTTGAAAATGTCACCCTGATCTCTTCTTGCTGGAATGATTTCTGTGAAGTAAGATGGAACTCTTTCTTTCCTTCTCTATAGATGAGATTCTCCCCACTTTGGATTCTTTGACTACCTGTAGCTTCCCTATGATATGCTTGTCTATTGGGACTTTTTTTAATGGTGTTTTTTTCTGCTTCATATTACCTAAGCCTTTTGGTTCTGTGCTTTCCTGTCTAACATGAATTTTAGGAAACTTCTTAACCATTATTAAACTTCAAAGAGGCCTCTTTTCTCTGTTTTTGGTATTCCTACTATACATAAATTATGCTTTTTAAAATCTGCCCCACAATTTTTAGCTACTCACCTTTGGCTGCCTTTATGTTTTATTTTTTTTATTCTCTCTTATCTGTATTTTTCAAGTTTGAGCTTTCTATTATAAAATCCTCAATCTCAGAGATTCTGTCCTCAATCAGGCATACCATGTGTTCTACTTTTCCCTCTACTCCCAAATGCTGGGATTACAAGCCTGTGGCAGTCGAATTGGTTTTGTGGTGCTCGAATCGAACCCAGGACTTCTTGCATGCCAAGTTATCACTGTGTCAACATCCTCACATCCCCAGCCCCAATTCTTTTTTTTTTTTATTAGAGGGTTGTTTCAATGTTTTTGTTTTCAACTGTAGTAAGAGGTTGCTTGTTTGTTCCTCCCTATTCAGCCCCAAAATAATCACACAGAAGCCATATTATTTACAATACTGTTTGGCCAATAGCTTAAGTATCTTTCTGACTAACTCATATCTTAAAGTAACCCATCTCCATTAATCTGTGTATTGCCACAAGGCTGTGGCTTACTGGGTAAGGTTCCAGCATCTGTCTCTGGCGGGGCTACATGGCTTCTCACTGCCTCTGCCTTCTTTCTCCCAGCATTCAGGTTAGTTTTTCTTCAGCTACTTCTATTCTGCCCTTCACAGTCCCAAGACAGCAAACAGAGGGGAATCCCACATGTTTCAGCTTTCCCTTTTTATTCTCATTTAGGATTCCATCCCCTAGCTTACACCATGCACCTATTCTCCTCCTGTTGTCTACGCTGCCCATGACAGTCACAGCATATCAATGTGCCTTCTCTTTAAATTCCTTGTTTGATAATTACAGGTTTCTTGCCATACAGACTCTGATTCTGATGTCTAAATGTTCTTCTAACTGTGCCTTTCCCTGTCTTATCATGGCTACCAGTTTTTGCTGAAAGCATGGCATGGTTTACCGGGAAAAGAAAGTGTGGAGAGCAGACCTTCAATGATGTGGTAACCTTTGGAGAGAACACACTCTCAGTACTGTAACTAGTTCTTAGTCTTTCATAAATCTAAGCCTCTAGACTGTGTACTTCACCAGGACACCTTAGTTTGTTTTCCTTCTCTTGGAGGGAGGGGCCAGAAAACCTGTGCACTGTTAATTCTCTTCACTCTAGATTGAAATCTGATAAAACCCCAGCAGGTTAGCTTCCAGTACAATGCTTGTTCTGAGGAAAGACCTTTTTAAGAACTGGGTACTGTGGGATATTTCAAATGTTCATTTCCCTCCCCTTGCAAATGCAACAGGGACCTTTCTGCTAACATCGTTTTAACCAATGTTGGTAGAAATCCTCCAGGTAGCCCCAAGAAAAAATAAACCCCCTTCACCTCTGATATCTCTCTCTCTCTCTCTATCTCTCTGTCTCTCTCTCCCTCTATCTCTCTCTCTCTCAACACTTCATATTGTCCACCCACACAGAGACTCCTGCAGTTTGCCAATTATGCTTCAGGTTTTCCAACTGTGGCAGAATTTTGTATAGTGTTTTCTGAGGTTGTGAATTTCTCTGTCCCCATCTGATTTTCTAATTTTGGTAATGGTAGTTTGGCTCATGACTTCTCTTAGTTGATTTCATTTGTACATTTTACAATTTGTTCCATTGTTAGGATGGTGTGATAACTTAGAAGCTCAGTAGGTACTGGGCTGTACTGGCAGCCCTTTTAGATAGTCTACTTCTCTAGATAAGAATTTGGCCAAGCTAGATGGAGTCAAGTAGGAATAACATTGCTTACATTGATATTGAATTTGGAGGTCACAGTTTGTGCTCCAAGACAGGTCTAGACTCATTGGGACAAGGGACTAAGAGATCCAGCAAACTACCAAGTCAATCTTTCAGATTCTGAAATGAAATCAAAGATTAAATAGAGGGCCAAGGATATGCACATCTAAGCAGCCTCTGTCAAGGTATAGACCCACCCACCACTGACCCCAATTGTCTGAGATTTAGCCTGTAAACTCCTCTAGCAAGTTGTTAGAACTTGGTGACATCATCTCTTGGTGTTAGACAAATTCCCCATTTGCCGACTTCCTATCCTGTTCCTGACACAAGATTCCTGGAGAAATTCCCATTTCTCGGGAGTCCATTGTTTCAATAGTCTGATAGCCATATGAAGAGACATAAGTGT